TGGTAGGTGCTGGAGCCATCAAAGTTCCACTCAGGTAGATCTAAGAGGAGGAGCGCAGTTATAATACACTGCATTTAAGAAATTAACTCGCTGTTAGGAAAGTAAAAAAAAAAGAAGTCAGAAGTCTGCTTACCATCAATGCTTTTGGGCTCAAAATCCAGCGTCCTGGTTTTGCATCGGAGCCCCTCACCGGTTCCATCAATCCAAATATACATGGCTTGGACTTTATCCCCCTGAGGGAGCTCCATGTACTGCTGCTTTACAGCTTTACTCAGGCTGGCACTGGCGGACGTGGCCATTTTATTTCCTACTATAAGACACCTGAAGATAAGGAAAAAGAGAGCAGATATAAGATCACGGTGTGCTCTGGCTCACAATGTTGCATAACCGAGCTTGGGGACGCACAACACTACTACTCCCTCTTCTTCAGGAGCGAGAAATGATGAAAAACGAGTTTTGGATGTAAATGAAGGCGCATTGCTCAGGGTTTTCTCTGCCCCCACTTTGTAAACAAAAGGAAACGCGACTTTCCATCACTGCGCAGCTCACAAAGATGGCTCATGGAAAACCACACTGAAACCCCCCCGCAATAAATAACTAATAACCTATGACTAACAGGCGCCAGAAGAAAACGCATCTTTACACATCCTGTTACTGTGGTTACTCTAGAGAGTGAGGCAATATTACATCATGGGCTTCCTGATGTAACTCATTGCCTACAAGCTATAAGCAAAAGCCTAATTTGGACATAAGGCAAACGAACGAATGAACATGGCGCCACTGAACTAAATGAATGGCCTTTATAAATAAGAGTACTTAAAACAATGAGGTAACAATGAGGAAATCTGATGCAACGAAGAGCTTAGAAGCTGAGCTACCGTGAACAAAGAAGGGAAAAAGAAGCTCATTTACCTGGAGAAACGAGAAAATTAAAATAAAAACTAAAGGACTGGCAGGTCCACCGTCTTGACGTATGATGCTCCGCTAGTGTAAGTCTCATTCTCCAGTACCGAAACTCTAGATCTGGTCACATTTATAAGAGCAGCAGCTGGGACGTCGCATCCTTGATTGGTCGGTGAGACGGTAGTGAGTTTACTCTTAGGTGATTGAGGGCACATGCAGCCCGATTATTGGACAGGCTGGAAACGGAGCTGCAACGCCCTCTAGCAGGAGCCGAACCGCATGTTTGCCTGTGCGTGACCATCTACTATGTGTGCATCCTCCTCATCCTCACATAGAAACATAATCTGAGAATTTAAAATGAAACGAAAAGTGTGAACAGGCCTGAGACTGACCAGTCTTCTGAAAACGTGCTGTGACAAAGTTGAGATTGAACGTAGGATACTGCTTCATCTGACTCAGCTGAAAAGCAGCAGGTCGATGTCAGTCCGCGACGCCACCAAGTGGTCGGATTTGGTCACAGCAAGAGCGTACTGGTTTCAATGGGACATTATGTAATCTCATCAAGAAAAGTCTACTGTTGTCGGTGCATTCAGGTTTTACAAAGAATGCCACGTGATGAAACTGTGTGTGAAATGTATCTGAACCATCAGCAAGAGTGGAGATTGTTTTACTGCAGCTGTTCGACTTCTTTCTCCTTCTCTGTCTTTAATTTGTGATTTTCTGTTCATCTGTTGACCATGGAGGAATTTGTAGCATAAAAGATGTTTTGGTTTATTAGTAGAATCACTACATTTTACTGGTCAATTAGAACTCAGTAACTTTCAGTGGTTTAAGTGATGTGTTAAGCATTTTCCTGCAACTGCTTGATGTAGAGCTCATTTTAACTACATGCAATATAGTTGAGTAGTTTAGTCTGGTGGTTACCAACTTAGAGTCAGTTCTCCTTTGCTTTTTGCCTCTTTGGGCCTAAAACAGCTGAGAAGTTTAAAGGGGAACATGCTCTTATGTTGATCTTCTAACAATTTGTAATCTCAATAAGAGGCCCCAATGAAACAGTTCTTTCTTGTATGAGGCCACAAACAACAGAAGTTTAAGAATCACTGGTTTAATCTTCTTTCAAATGCTGTACTTTATTTGGAGCTTGGGATAAAATTTTAATCTGTCAGTAACAAGTAAATACATAATGAGATCATAGCAAACCCAGTCAGCCCATACCAGACTCATGAGCTTGATTTGATTGATTTTGATTTGATTTATTCTTTCAAGCATGTAAAGACAGTTGATATGTCAACACACATAATTTTACACATATCCAACAAATGCTAATCCAATATCAATTTGCTTATACCTAGTACATGCTTGAATGGAGTAGGAAGAAGTCAGACTTATCCAGTCCTACCCCATGAATACAGCAGACAAGAAGGATCTAATGGTACTTACTGATCTCTGGTCAGGTTCAGGTGATGAGCCCTTCTCTGCAATTCTTCTCCTGTAAGACAGAGTCCAGAATTATTTCTGAAAAACAGTTGCTATTTTTAAAAACATATCATCATGTTTAATGTTAATATCATAAAGCACAGACCACACAATTCCTCCTGAACTCCACATTTTTAAAACCTAAATTCCTTAGATTTCTCTAGATCTTACAGTGATACTTCTCTGTCAGCAACAAAGTGCATTTAAATTACGATTTTACTACATATCATCTCATAATACTGAGGAATAGTGAGAGTGATGAGTACATGAACTTATTCTTCAGGTGGCACAACAAAATCCATTGCGACCAACATTGGGGTTTGCTAAATCTACTGTATGGCAACTGTGTCAAGTTTCACTTTTCTGTAGTATATGAAACAAGATCTGAAATTCATTCATATGACTCAAGTGCCTATTTTGAGACGTACTGAATCGAAGAGTAATATATGATGTGTCGCTACCTCCTTGCTAACAGGGCACTCATCTCCTCCATGAGCCCTCCTCCTCCAGGCAGAGGGCCGTTGCCTCTGGCTTCAGATTTGGCCCCTCCAGCCCCTGGCATGGCTGCTGCCAGAGCGGCCGCCGCCTGAGTATTAACATTCATACACCACACCCACAATGTTCCATCTAATTAATCATTAAGCCTGTTCTTGCTTATATCTTGATTGACACATACCTTTATATTTATGTTTAAACTTGTCAATTCTATTACTATTTTTTATGTCCGCGCTTAAATTATTCCATAGTTTTACCCCACTTATGGAAATACACAATCTTTAGCTCCCCCAATTTTCAATTGAAGTTCATTATCTAGTCTACGATTCCCAAATACCATAAATTTAGTTTTATCCAAATTCAGAGATAGTATATTACTATCACACCATTTCTTTATCTTCTCAAGTTCCTGTGAAACCCGTCCAGAGAGTTGCTGTAGGTTTTCACCCGATGCCCATATGGTAGTGTCATCAGCAAATAAAACCACTTTCACTAAATCAGAAACCTTGCATATATCATTAATGTATAATATAAATAATTTAGGTCCCAAAACAGAACCCTGAGGCACTCCACATACAATATCCAGCTCACTTGATTGGTATTCACCCATCACAGCTTTCTCATGGGGTCATTTTTCTCAGACGTGACAATGAGTCTTATTCATAAACATTTTTCTTACAATTGTTCTAATAATTTTCTCAGTTAAAGTTATGTGTAAAAACTGAAAAACAAAAAATAACCTTTACATCTGGTTCAGAAACTAGAAATCGAATTTATAGCTAAGTCAGCAACTGTGGTATATAAAAGATTTTAAATTAATTTGACTCTGTTTGTTAATCACTTTGCTAACAGATTAATTCAGTGTCACTACATTTTGATTTTTAAAATAAAGACAGCAAATGCCACCCTTTGTGGGGGTTAAAAACTGCCACTGTCCCAACTTTTATTTTGAAAGTTCAAAGACAGGTCTGCCCTTCACTTCCAGGTCAGTTTGAAAATAGGACACCTTGGCTTCAAAGCAACTTGAAGTTTCCAAATCACTAAAAATAGAAGAAGAAGAAGATGAAGGTGATGATGATGAAGATGAAGCAACTTCAAATTACTGTTCTTTCTGTGCAAAAAATGGGAGGATGTCACCCCAGGCTTCATTCCTCAAGAGACTTCCACATCTCACTCCAAACTATAAAGGTAATGTTAAGTAGGTGTGGGGCAAGGAGGCCTGAATGAACAAGTCTGGCACTGTGGTCACTCTTGGACAGGGTTAAGGGGACAGTGTACTTTGGAAGTGCACACCAGGAACAGATTTGAAAGGGAAGACACTGACAGAACAGAGTAGATGAGGCTCTTGTGAGGACTGCTGGTGGGCACAGAACTAAAATAACAAGCTGTACCAGCTGGGACTGTGGCAGCAGCTGGGCACATTTTTAAACCTGCTTCAGAAGACAGATGATGTCCCCACTAAAGCCCTGTAGTAGGTTCTGGCCAAGTGTGTAGCAGTGTGTCTGGGTGTTGTCTTTAGAGTGCACCACAACCATATCTGATGGCACAGACATTCATCCTCTCCGCCCAGGGAAATGCAATGCCCTGATTCACACTGCTGAGCAGAAGATGCCAGGGGAGTTTAGTAACAAAACAGTATTAATATTAACAATCTCTTCTGTGTATGAAAAATGATGACATAAATTACATTTCCTTCCTTTGGCATTCACTGTGAGTACATTATTTCTTATGCTTCTTAAACTTTTTAAATTGTTTGCACAGCTTCTAGCTCCCTCTCTTTTCTCAGTTAGGAAAGATATGTTTTCTCACATTATTGGCAATTAAACCTGCACCAGTAATTTTCTAAACTCATACAGTATATCATATAAAAAATGATCCTCTTGTGTAACCCTCTATGTTTTTCTTTTTGGTTTTGCAGCTAACTGAGCATATAGCACCACCAGATGGACTAAGGACTCCAGAGCAGGAGGTGATTGAGGCTTCCTGAGGCTCCACTAACCCTTAAGCTTCTAAGAGACTTGGGGATTCTTACACCTGGTGGACCTGAGAGAGGGATGTTCCCACTGCCTGCACCGTGGAAAGACTAGTAAGTCTAAAAGACAAAGTGCAGTTAACTGGAAGCCTTCAGTTTTAATTGGAATCATATTTGTTGCTGAAAGATATTTACATTTATTAAACATTACTGTGTGTATGAAATCAATATCCTGATATCATGATCAAGAATATTTTCTAAAATGTTCGAATATTGCAATGTAGCAATTGTACGTAAAGTCACATATAAAATAATCAAATGTAACTAAGTTTAGTCTTGTGTCAAAGTGCAATTACCCGGTTGGAAAACAGTGTAACACTCTTAAACTAGTGACCTGTCTAAGCACCCATGACTGGCAGGAGATGTGGAATCCTTGAACACAAGCGTGAGAGGGGATGAGTTGAGTTGGCTAAGCACAGTGAATATTCATCCCCTATCCTGGACCCAAATTCATATCATATGCACACTCAGAGATGGGTTCAGATCATCAGCATCCAGGAAGCAGTCTGTTTACAGCTGCAAAGGCAGGTGCGGCAACGGGATGAGCTGCTAAAGTCATTTTGGTTGTAGTAGTAGTTGTATGTGTTAATCACAGTTATTTTCAGCCGTGTAACCGTCTGAACTGTGTGTGATTATAAAACAAGGAAATAGATGTAGATGTGTTAAGTACAGTGCCTGTTACACAAACATTAATGTTACTCTTCATGCTTTACAGAATCAGAAATCACTAATACTATTGTGCTGTTTCTGTAAACGGCTCTGACACTCTGTTGTTGTCTAAAGTACAACCGCAGGTTAAGGATGCAATCATAAAGAGCTTCATATTTTTTGACTTCACTTTCATAACTGTCCAAACTAACAAATAACAAAGACTGGCACATGTATGCAAAACATTAGGAGTGTGATAAAAGAAAACACTGAGATTAGTGTTGTAGGGTCACGTTATTCCTGCAGAGGGCAGCAGCTGCCAACACAGGACTCCATCTGGCAGCACTGTGCCCCATGGTTTGTATTTGGAACCACTGAGCCACTAAGGTGACATTTTCTATCTCAACCTGTAGCTTGTTCTCTTGGGGAGAACCCATACATTCAATAGATAAATATGAAAACCTACAAATATCACATTAAACACCTTCCTCTTTGCTCAAAATTATTACTTGTCAGATGCCGTTTGATGTAATCCAGACCTGCTTGTCAAAATAGAGTTGAAGGCCTTTGTGAGGAAGACTGAAGAGGCAAAGAAGATAAGGATGCTGTCTTTAGCAGTGTGTTTTATTGGGGAGAGATTTTTGAAATAAGAGACGAATAAAGGTTGTTTTGATCAAACAAGGAAATATATACACATCCTCCTTCACTGGAGCCTCATTGTATTGTACAGTGAAAAGGATTGTGACTGAAGTGCACTACAAACTTTCTCTCTGAACTTTAAAATCCATCTCCCAGTTTGCAGCTCAGTCTTTCAGTACAAAGGTTGATGAATAATCTGTCTTACACCTTCACCTCACTCTTTTAACAATTAGGCCCTAACACCTGCAATCCCTCGGCCGTCATATATCATCATGTCCTCCACAGACCATGGGACAGCCCTCCACCTTAAAAATGAATAAGGCCAACAACATAGTTGTCGCTGTTTCAATGCCCAGCGTGTCCTGTGTGACTCATCACTTCAGCTGTAAATCAGGCCAGGAGGAGCCCCGAGGGACTGTGTTCCTCTAAAGCTCCTTCACAATGCTTGAAATGGAGCATCAGAAACCAACCACTTTGGAATAACACTTATTGGCGTGGCAGCATGAAACACTACTGACTGTTCAAATGAAAGTCAGCAGGAGCACCAGGCGCTGCGGCTGTCGCCTTTGCGTGATCTTTGTCTATGTTCTCTCTCCAGTATCAGTGAGGATGAAGGCAGAGCAGCGTGAAGCATCATGGGTTATATTTAATCCAGCCTTGCTCTTCTTTGGGATAATAACTTTTTTCCCCATTCCTGGACTTGTCTGTCATCGTGACATGGCAATATCTCCAAACTCCACTGTTTCATAGTCAGTTTCATTTATTTCCAAATACCATTTCACACCCTGCTGGCTTTAACTAGGTATTATACAGCATGTGGGGAGTGTGCTGCAGATTGAATCATGACAGAGACAACAACGTTTCTGGTGAAAAATAAGTGAATATTGCAAGTGGCAGACTATATGAAATGATTTTTTGCTCCATTGTCTTGGCATGAATTTGTGTGTTTGTCATCCTGGTCCCTTAAATTCATATGGGATGTCTACAGCTGATCAGATTTGCTGCCTTTATTTTGTTTTCGGATTTTAAATTAAGATTTGTATCAAAACTGAGCGAACAAAATTTATGCTCCTGCGAGACAATTTTTAGTCTCCTCAACTACACAGGTTTGCCCACCCCTGCATCCACCCACACCCTTGGATCATAAAAAATAAAAATAAAAGCCCATTTTAATTTTTAGATTTTTTTTAATCATTAATAATTTTTGAGGAAAATACTATTGCAAAAAACAAACAAACTGTAACATAGCCTGACAGCAGTAAGTGCAGTCTGGTCTGTTAATTCTGTATTTTGTAATATCAACCATTTATATCTGAAATTGAAACAATAGTGTAACATTGTAGGAAATGTGTGAATTCACTTTCTTCTCAAGAATTATTACAACATTGCAGCCAGGAACTGGTGAGCTGAGCTTAGCATAAAGGCTAGAAAGAGGAGGAACAGCCAGTCTGGCTCTGTCCAAAAACCAAAACTTGTGGTTTTACAGTGTTGTATGTCCTGGATTGTTTCTTTGACCAGGAGCAGTAACTTCTGGGATTTTTTTTTTTTAACCTGTTGCTTTTAGTCTTCATGCTAATCTAAGATAACCATCTCCTGGCTCCAGCTTCTTACTGAATTGAGATATCCAAGTGGTACAGTGTGAATCGAAAGTCAAATGGTGTGTTTCTCCTAAAGGAGAATTATTCCTTTAACCGACCTGGTTTCTGTACCATGAGTATTTCAACATATGTGTAGGAAAGGAATTATGCTTTGACATGTCTGTTACAGCAGATAATTGTCAAACTGCCAATTAGTTCAACTCCTAGGGTTAACTGTCAAATGAAAATGTCAAGCTCTTTGAATAAACTACATGGGTCAGTGAGGAGCATACAACATGCTGACAAGAGAAATGTGGAAGTGGCTCCACATGTGTGCCAATAATGAGTTTTATAACAAGATATTTTATTTTAAAAGAGCAGTCTAGTTAATGAATAGCACTGGATATTGGTAAGCCTGTAGGATTTTATGTTATGTGGTTTATCCCTCAATTTATTAACCACCTCCTAAAGATAGGAGAGTTGTATAAATATTCTCATAACTCAAGAAAGCAAGTATAATCAACAGTTTGGGTGGTTTTCCATGGTTCTTGTTGTTGTTTTTTTCTGGTGTGTCAGTCAAATTGGACATTGTATAGTTGTTTGTAATGTGCAGGATCATCTCCTGTTGTTATTAGTTAAAGTAGTTGGACTTTTACTGAGAATATTGTGGGTTTTATTCATATATTGGCCCCTCAGTGAAAACCTGTTGCCTCCAGCCAACCCTGTTCTCCTGTATTGATAAAGCTAAAAACGCCACTTGTTTATCTCACACAGAAACTCAACCACAACAAAACCATCATAAATTCTCCTCATTTTTTGCATAATTTGCCTTCACTCTTTTTCTTGCACAACAATGAGTTTAAGTGACAAGAATGTTTTTTGTCATTTGTTTATTCATCTCCAGTAATCGCTCTTCTAACACCCACAGGGGACTCCATACAGCGAGCTTGCCCACCGCTGTGTGTGCCGAGATGGCGGTAGGTGGTCCTGCCCGTGGCTTGGTGGGTGAGCATGGTGTAGTCCCTGCTGCCACTACAGCTGACATATCAGAGTTGTTTATTAAGAGGATGACAACTCTATCAAGCCCCATAAGCGGGCCCTTGTGCACAGGAGTTCTTTTGTTACTTTCAGGGAGGGTGTCATCAATCTTGCTGCCATGCTACTCTCTTGAGCTGTTGATGGCAAACACGATTCCTCCCTTTCTGCCTGGCCTCTCCCGCCTCGTAGTCTCGAATCAGGCATGGTGAGGGGGATCGGGGAAATAGGAGGACTTTCTCTGAGAGTGCCTCTTCTTGACAGGCGACAGAGCGGACCGCTTGGACACCAGGGCTGGATATATGGGACCATGTAATGAAAAGACGTTGACAGGACCTGCTTGCTCTGTAATGAAGGTCCTCTGGAGCTGTGAATGGATACACACATCTTTCACGCTTTTGTCTCCCTGCCTTTCCCACAGAATCTATCTCATCCATTTTAAACAAAAAAGGTGTAAGAGAAGCATCCCAGACAACAACTCACTGTCTTCAACATTTACATGCAACAACGTGGTGTGAATTTTTAATGAAACAGCTGCTGAGCTGATTTACACCCACGACTTGGTTGCTAAATCCCTTTAGCATCAGCTCATGAAGGTGCAGTTGAATGTTTTGCCTCTTTCCTCACTCTGTCAGTGCTACTCAAAGCTCAGTGCAGCTCACAGAGATGGACTATGATGTATGTACTCCACTTTAGCATTGACTGAGGTCACAGACTCCATAAATGTCTTAGACAAGTCTGATATTTTAATCTCTTTTTAGTGAGGGGATGTTGGGCCTTTGCCCAATCAATACACAGGGCAATAGCCTTGCCAGGATTTTTCATGGTAGCTTTTCACTGTTCTGTCTGGAAGCTGAAATGTCAGCCAGAATAGTTTGGTTCAAACTAAAGCTGAAATGCGGCTGTCTGCAGGCAAAAACATTGCTTTTTATAATCTCGAAGCATCTGACAACAATGAATGGTGAAATCAGCGATCGCAGTCTGAAGATGACTCTCGTCTGAGGGAGAGGGCGCAGGCTGACACCTGAAATTTCCTTTTTTTATTCGCAAATCAAGTCCTATCTGTTTAATTCATCAATCAACAATAGCCCTAAAAGAGTAAAAGGGAGTGGGGGGAGGAGGGGGATGGGGTGCTGTGCTGCTGCCTTTGTAAAG